CTGCATCTGGGGATGCCTCGTTCTTTGAAAAGAGCTGCATCAGCTGCTTCGTTAGCTGGTCCTTACTCTGCACGCCAAACCCTAAACCCTAAACCCTAAACCCTAAGTTCTAAACCCTAAACCCTAGTTCTTCCAGGCGAGGCGAGGCGAGAATTGCCTCTTGTGAGGAGCTGCTAGGGTCTATTATGGTAACAACTTAAGGGTTTAGGGTTTAGGGTTTAGGGTTTATGGATCTGTCTTGCACTGCTAGGCAGCTAAACCGAATGCAAGCGCTAGGGTTTAGGGTTTAGGGTTTAGGGTTTGGGGTGAATATGAATCTTACCTCTGTAAGATCCTTTACTGTGGCTTCGAGCTCTGCGTTTTGTTTGACGAGTTGGTTAATTTGCTGCTGCTGCTGCTGCTGCTCTTTGTCTCCTACTTTCTCTTGCTGCTTCTGCAGCAGCTGCAGCTGACTCAGAGCAACGCCCTGCGCTTTCTCAAGCCGCTTGCGGAGCCTCATAGCATCATCAAGCTCACTCTCCAACTGAGAAAACACCAAGGGTTTAGGGTTTAGGGTTTAGGGTTTTGGGTTAGGATGTAGGGTTTGCGACTTGGGGTTAGGGTTAGGGTTTAGGGTTTAGGGTTTAGGGCTTGGCGGTTGAAGAAAGCATGCGGTAAGACACGCACCCACAGAGGGAGGTCCCCTAGGGTTTAGGGTTTAGGGTTTAGGGTTTGGCTTACCGCAGCAATGCGAGCCACCAGGGCCTCTTTGTCTCCTTCGACTTGTTTAGGCGACGCCGCCACCGCCTCCCCCCCGTTTTTGCTGCAGCAGCAACAAGGAGAGTGCAGACTAGCTAGCTGGCTAGCTGGCTAGCTAGCTGGCTAGCTAGCTGGCTAGCTAGCTGCCAGTTGTCTATCTATCTATCTAGCTAGTTGGATATCTAGCTAGCTACCTACTCAGCTGTCTATCTGCCTAGGTAGGGGGCTATCTATCTATCTCTGTTACTAGCTAGTTGGGCTAGCTAGCAACCTAACCAGTCAGCTAGCTAGCTAGCTAGCGAGCAAGCTAGCAACCACCCTACAGGACGACAGCTACCTGTCTCCTTGACTGCATGATTCGTCTGCTAGAGGCTAGGCTGGCTAGCTAGCTAGCTATACCACCCACCAGCCAGCTGGCTAGCTGGCTAGCTAGCTAGCTAGCTAGCTAGCTACTTACCGGGCCTTCTCAAGCTCTTCCTGAAGGGCCTCGACTTCAAATGTTTTTGCGTCGATCTCCGCGTCCTTCTGAGCCAGCGTTAGTTGAGCCACCTCCCTGCGCACCAAACCCTAAACCCTAAACCCTAAACCCTAAACCCTTGGCCCTGAAGCGTATGGCTGCCCTGTGGGGTGGCTTCCGTTCAAGGCGCCTCCGCTGCTCTCCAGCTACCTTGCTCAGCCAGCTAGCTAGACAGCTAGCTAGTTATATAACAGCTAGGCAAAGAGCTAGCTAGTTAGCTAGCTATGTATCCCCCAGCTAGCCAGCTAGCCAGCTAGCTAGCTCGCTAGCTAGCTAGCTGGGGGCTATTAACTAGCTAAACAGCTAACTAGCTAGTTAATCAAAGAATTAGCTAAACAGCTAGCTAGCTAGCTAGCTAGCTAGAAACGTACGCCTTTTTCTCAGCTGCTGCGAGTTTTAACTCAACTTCGTCTTTCTGCGACTGCAGCAACTCGCCGAGACTTCGGGCCTCCAGCAGCTTCTCCTCCAAATCTGCGCAAAGCCACAAACCCTAAACCCTAAACCCTAAACCCTAAACCCTAGTTG